TATCAAATTGCAAAATACATAATAGGTAGACCAATAGAATTTATATGAACAAATACTATTTGATTTCGGGGAAGGTATATTGCAAGGTGTAGTCAAGTTTGCTGATTTTACAATTGAAAATAATTTTAGAAATACAGGCTCGAATGCAAAAGGCTGTAGATAATACAAAGCCTTCCTTAAGAATACAAAGATTTTATAGGGAAAAACAAGTGTGCGTTGAAAAAAATCATTTATAAAGACGAAAGATTTACAAATTATAACGTATGTTTATTTACAAAATTAGATTTGCATCTTCTATTAAATTTATTTTTGATGAAATTCTTGTAGATGATACATCAGGAAAATTACTTCCGAATAAATTGACTATACATAATTTGACTGATGATTGGCTAAAAGCTATTCAGGTGATTTGGAAAACTACCCACTTAAATGCAGAAAACAATTGTGATATAAAGTAATATTATTTTTATAACTATAAATTCATGATTTTTTATCAGATTGCAATAGCAAAGAATTTTTTTTTCTTTATCTGCAGTAAATCAATGTCGGATTGTTTTCAAGAAAGAGAAGAACTTTGATTGTGGCCAGCTCAGTTAAACATAATCAACGCTCCTCTGAGGTCACTAAGGGCATCGTTAAGAAATTTGTTATTTTCACAGATGTCTATTCTTATTACTTTAGACGATTTGATTCAGCAATGGCATTATGCTTGTTTATCAGACAGAAGTTTATGGGTTGAAGCCAAAGAAACTATTAGAAATGTTAGAAATGTTGTCCTCTTGTAAATTTTGATCTGTAATACAATAAAAATTATCAGATATAAGATATAAATATTGTAATTATTAATTGCAGCAACCTAATCCTGATTTATATCATTATTAAATGCACATTGAGATTAATTATTCATTTAGTTTTCCTTAACATTAATTATTATGGATAATAGTTCAGTAGCATTACTAATAGTGAATGAAAAAAATTTATTTTTAATTTGATTTACTTTGTTTTTGTTGGCTCAGTAAATGAATCCTCCATTGAAAGGTCATATCCAGAAGGTAATTTTTTACATCCAAGTTCGTTTATAGCATTTCTAATTACAGCTACTTGATAATTTGTAAAAACACTGTCAAATATACTTATGTCTTCGTAGACTAATTTCCTAAAAGATACTTACATGATACTTATTTAAATAATTCAAATACCGTAAGCCTACATAAGCTTACATATACTCTCACCATTAATGTCGGCCATATGTTCTATATATATGGTGTCTTATTTCCCAATAGTCTCTATGATTCAGCCCCCCAAGTAAGCCCTAACGAACGGCTAACGCAACTATATAAATATACCCATTCATAACCTCGAAAGCGCAAATAAGAAAGTAACTTAAATTGTTGACTTTTAATGGCAATAAATAATAAAACTATTCTTAAAAATAACTGTCTTATACAAGATGTTTATAGTGACGAAAAAAATTGATAGTGAAAACATTAGCAAAGTTTGTAGAACATGTTTAAGAGAAGATAACGATAAAATGATTTGTTTATTTATTGGTCCTCCAGAATCATCTTTAGGTGCCAAATTACAGTCTTTATCATACTTAGAGGTAAAGACGTTTCCTAAAGACCTATTAGTTTATAGAAATTTCTTGATTAAATAATATTGGACATCTCCCACAGGTATCCCAAGGAGATGGGTTACCAGAAAAAATGTGCGATAGATGTGTAACAAGAGCAGAATCTGCTCTACTTTTTAGAGAACAGTGTCGAGCTGCCGATCAAGCCCTCAGGCAAGCTGCCCTTCAACTTTCCAAGGATCAAGCTGATGCTAATTATTCCAAAAGTTATCATCAGAATCAAGTTTACACTCCTCTACAGTGTCCACAAAATTCATCAAGACTTTCCGATTATCATACTTACTCTAATTACCAAGATTTTTATATCCATAATCAATTTCATCCACCTATTTATCAGAGAGAGGAGCATGCACCTCAACATATGCATATTATAGAATCTCCAAATACTTATTTTAGTTTGAGTAGATATAACAGTAGTTTTATTAATAATGAGATTTTTACAGATAGAACATATCCAATACTTAGGACAGATGATTTTAACTCTTTTATGAGTCATGAGTCAATGAATTCTAGAACATCTTGTGCCTTACAATGTTCAATTTGTAATTATACATTTAATAATGAGGCTCAATTAGCATATCATAGCATTACGTATCATACTGATAACGTTGATTTATCGAGCGACGAAGTAAATATTGAAGTCGAAGAAATTTCAAATACAAATATAAGTATTCAACAAGGAAAGTCTCTTGAACCACCCATCGAAAATAATAAAGTAAATTCAATTTGCAATAGTCAATTTCAAAACTTAAATTATGCACAAGATTCCTATGAATCCGAAAAAATAACTAGTACTAGTGTGCCCCCACAGGACAAAAATATTACCACCTCATTAATATCAGAAATTATTAGAAATAATAAATTCAAATGTGACGTTTGCTCTCGATTATTTAGCCAGCAGTCAAAATTAGAAATGCATCAAGCATCGCACAACAGAAAGAAACTGTTTAACTGTGCTCATTGTAGCAAATCGTACTCTTCGAAAAGCAAATTAGCCGCCCATACGCGACTACATACGCAAACCAACATTCATAAATGTAACATTTGTCAAAAGATATTTTCGTGGCCATCCTACTTGAATGAACACATGAAAACGCACAATCCTGAATCGCAAGAAAAGAAAGTAACGTTCGAGTGTGCCGAATGTAAGAAACTATTTCATTGCGTCAAGAGTTACAGGAAACACACGAAATTTCACACTGGTAAAGGTCTATTTCAGTGCGACATTTGTGATAAGTTGTTTAGTCAAAAATATTCGTTAAAAGTTCATATGAGCTCTCATAGACTTTTCAAATCACACAAATGCGAATTGTGCGACAAGTCCTTCAATCAAAGGAGTAATCTTGTAGAACATATGAGAATACATACGAAAGTTAAGCCTTTCAAGTGTACAATTTGTGACAAAGGTTTCTCCCAGTCAAGCCATCTTAAAAGTCACGAATTATCTCATAACTCTATAAGAAAGTTTCAGTGTAAAGTGTGCGGAAAGCGATTTAAATTGTCGAGTCATTTGAAAAGACACGCAAATTTACATACGGGTAAAAAAATGTACAAGTGCGATCAATGTAATCAGACGTTCTCACAAGCCTTTAGTTTGAAAAGGCATTCGAAAAAACATACAGAATCGATGTAGTACATTTTATTTTTACGACTGATACTTTATTTTTAAGTCGAACCTTTACAAATGCATTTTTGATGATACAGTTAAAGAAGCATTATTGTATGATGCATGTTTAAAACAGTAAAAATGAAAAGAGTCAGATTTAAATGAAGACACTAATTTATTTCTTTTTATGTTCTAACAGAGTCGAAGTGATAATGTGCATGGCCTCTCGTATTTGTTCTTCGTTGATACAGAGAGGCGGAGAAATCCTTATGATGTAATTGTGAGCTGGCCTTGTCAGTAATCCATTAATAATTAGTTTCTCGCAAATATCCCAGCCGTTTGCGAAATCTGTACTCAATGTAAATACGTATTTGCACGTAAATTTGTACTCCGTCATATTGCCTATTTTGAATAAAAAAAGTACAAAAAGTATATACTGACCTGGATTGAGTTTGAGACCCGCCAGCAAGCCTTTTCCTCGAAATTCCAGCGCAATATCTTTGGGTATTTTTTCCAGCTCTGTCCTTACAATTTCGCCCATTTTAGCCGCATTGTCCGCGAGCTTTTCTTCCTCCAGAACTTTTATCGCTTCAACGGCGACATGTTGACCCAGAGGACTACCTCCAAAGGTGCTCCCGTGAACTCCAGTTTCCAGAGTCAAAATTATCTGAACATAAGCAATTTATTGTATTGCACAAGACACCAAGGAAGTAATTGCTTGGATTACTCATTAATGCTGGCCTCTTAAAATACGATTGGTCTACTTCATTACGCGAACTACAGTAAGTTCCTCTCGTCGAGCTCTACGCATATTTGTCTTATTGATTCGAGAAAAGTGAAGTACTTGCAATTACGACCGCTGAACCAAGTATAAAATAATTTTCATTACCAAAACGGAGGTAAAATTGCCAACAGCACTTTCGCACTAAACGAGAAGTAGATCGTATTGCAGCTGCTACAGTCGACGAGCGGCGGAGAAGGGTAAGGGTGAAAGCAAACCTCGTCGGAGCCGAGGACCCCGGAGACCGGATACATGCCGCCCGAGAGGGCCTTGCCGAGGATCAGCATGTCGGGCCGCACGCCCTCGTGGTCCACGGCAAAGCGCTTGCCCGTGCGGCCCAGGCCGGTCTGCACCTCGTCGGCGATGAAGAGCACGTTGTACTTGGTGCAGAGCTCGCGCACCCCGCGCAGGTAGCCCTCCTGCAACAGCGCCGGCGAGGCCATGAGTACGCGGCCGGGCGGCGTTCAAGCTGCGAGCAGACCTGAGGCACGTTGACACCGGCCTCGCCCTGGATCGGTTCGACCATGAAAGCGCAGATGTTAGGCTGGTCGCGCAGGCGCTGCTCGAGGGTGCCGAGGTCGCCGTAGGGCACGTGCTGGTAGCCGCGCATGTAGGGCCCGAAGTGAGCGTAGCAGTTGCGGTCGGTGGAGGCGGACAGCGCGGCGAGCGAACGACCCCAGTAGTTGCCCTCGGCGAACAGCACCAGCGCCTCGCCGTCGGGCACACCCTTCGCGCGGTAGGCCCAGCGGCGCGCGATCTTCAACGCCGTGTCGCCGGCCTCCACGCCCGTGTTCATCGGCAGGAACCGGTCGTAACCGGTCACGCGACTCAGCAGCTCGCCCAGTTCGCCCTGCGGCTCGCTGTAGAAGGCGCGCGAGGTGTGCGCCAGTCGGCCGCACTGCTCGCGCATCGCCGCCACGAGCCGCGGGTGCGAGTGGCCCTGACTCACGGTCGCGAAGCCCGACAGCAAATCCACGTAGCGCCGGCCCTCCAGGTCCCAGCAGTGCACGCCTTCGGCGCGCGCCAGCACCACGGGCAGCGTGCGGAAGTGGTGCCCGCCGCGGCGCTCGTCGCGCTCGATCACCTCGCGGCTGCGGCTGCAGAGCCGCTGCAGCAGCCGCCTCCCGCTCGTGCTCATCGCCCCCGGCCGACTAGCTCCCTGCCTTGGACGGCTCCTGCGCGTGTCAGCTACTGGGCTGTTCGTCGTGCCGCTGTCGCCTTCGGAGGTGGGTTGGGCCTTCGCGCGACCTTTTGACGAGCTTTTGGGGAAGGCGCGCGGCATTTATAGCCGCGCGCGGCGTCGAGGAGGAGGAAACGGCGCGGCCATTAGCGTGGGATCAATGACGGTATCGCTCGCTTTCTCTCCGCTCTGGATCCACAGGCTTGCGAGGCTTTATTTGCGCTCCAGCAGTTCGCCAGCCGAGCGGCAACAAGCAACGCGCATTTGCCGAGCGAATTCATCGCTCATAATGAAGATAGCGAGGCTCATGTCAAAGATTATGCTCGCTCTCTCTCTCTCTCTCTCTCTCTCTCTCTCTCTCTCTCTCTCTCTCTCTCTCTCTCTCTCTCTCTCTCTCTCTCTCTCTCTCTCTCTCTCTCTCTCTCGTGCGACGGCGAAATCCACGGCGACATCGGATCGCTACAAACAAAAAACATGTACACAGAGAGAAAGAGATGCCAAGAGACTGTGGATTTTTTCAAATTTTTATTGGCAGTTTATTCCGATATCGAAGATCGGAACAGAAAGGAATTTCAATCAATTAAGCAAATCAATACTACATCAGTTTCGTTCGAATCCACATTCGTACGTTGGATTTTAATTTCATTTGACTTTAATCCGTTATATCGTAGCGGATATGCGATAAGAAATAGAATGAAATAAAAATCTCGAAATACTGCTCGCGACAAATACAGATGGAATAAATTAATGAAGATGTTTCGGCTTCACTCCGTTCACCTTCATATCTTATCTCTGTGCTAGTTCTCTTTTGCTCCATCCATTATATCTCGGGAATCAAATGTGATAAACATTTTAATCTGCTCGGCTCGCATGTGCTCACTCGCGAGAAATTATCTTGGTATTTCCTTTTACAACCTTTATCTTTTGTGCTTAGCCGCCAGATCCGTCCAACGACATTGTTGCCGACTGCAAAATTAATTGTCAAGCGATGAAAATAATTACGTGTTTGCTGCTGTAGGTGAGCTGCGAAACGGTAACTAGCTATCGCGATTGTAGAATGATTGAACTGGTAGACGCATTTTTCGAAAATATATGATTCTCATTAAAACGACTATTTAAGCTCACCTGTGCTTACAATTAAATGGGTACGAATAAATGCAATAACGTCGGGAAAGGATATACAAATAGCAATATGTAAAACATTTAGAAAAGCAAGAGAGAGAGATAAACACTTTATTAGAGTATACCATAGTTGAAAGTAGGAACTTTTAACAACAAATATCGAGAGCAATGACATGCCGTATGTAGAAAGAATGCTCCACACAGAGGACCTACATAGTCTTTGGAGTGACTGTTGCTTCGAGTCAGATCCGCTGGAGACTGTGACGACAATTGTTATAACTAAGGAAACTCAAATCTTCTGTCTGGATATAACTTTGCTGATGATGCTGACGCACTCGTGGATCTGGGGCTCGGTTATGACGAGAGGTGGGGCCAGGCGAATGATGTGGCCGTGGGTCGGCTTGGCCAGCAGGCCCTCGTCCTTCATCTGTCGGCACACCTCCATGGCGTCGACCTTCTCATTGACGACGATGGCGTTGAGCAGGCCCTTGCCCCGGACCAGCGTAACCACTTCACTGGGCAACTTCTGCAGCTCGCTCCTCAGGATGCGGCCTGCAAAGCGGCGAGAAACAGGCGTTATCGACGCGCTCGTGCGAACATTTTATCTACGCCGAGTCGCGACTCGACGAGACACAAACAGACGAGTAGCTAGCTGGCGAGCCGTGGAAAATAACGGCGAGTCGCGCGAGAGGCAGCGCGCCGGTTGGTCGGCTCACCGAGTCGCTCGGCGTTCTCGGCGAGCCTCTCCTCCTCGAGGACCTTGAGCGCCTCGATGGCGATGCGGGCGCCGAGCGGATTGCCGCCGTAGGTGGAGCCGTGCTCGCCAGGCTTGATGGTGAGCATAACCGGGTCGTCGGCCAGCACACCGGACACCGGGTAGAAGCCGCCCGAGAGCGCCTTGCCGAGGATCAGGATGTCGGGCCGCGCGGCCTCGTGGTCGACCGCCAGCCTCCTGCCCGTGCGCGCCAGCCCTGTCTGCACCTCGTCGGCGATCCACAGCACCCCGTTCCTCGTGCAGACCTCGCGCACCCCGCGCAGGTAGCCCTCCTGCGTGCCCGGAGCTTCGATTAGCCTCTCGAAACTGGCGAGGCCAGGCGAGCGCGCGTACCTTCGGCACCACCACTCCAGCCTCGCCCTGGATCGGCTCGACCATGAAGGCGCAGACGCGCGGGTCCGAGGTGGCCTTGTCCAGGGCGGCCAAGTCGTCGTACGGGATCACCTCGAAGCCGGGCATGAACGGCCCGAAGCCGGCGTAGCTCGACGGGTCGGTCGAGGACGACACGGCGCTCATGGTCCTGCCCCAGAAGTTGCCCTCGGCGAAGACGATCTTGGCCTGGTAGCGCTCGATGCCCTTCACGTCGTAGCCCCAGCGCCGGGCCAGCTTGCAGGCCGTCTCGCCGCCCTCCACGCCCGTGTTCATCGGCAGCCACTTGTCGTACCTGCGCGCCCGTTCGTCAGTCCATCAGTAACATCCGTCAACCGAATTTCGTTGTTCTCGGACTCCTCGGCATCAACAACGCTATACACCCAATGCAGGACGAGCCGCTTTAACGAAATCGGAACGCGGCGTCTCGTTAATTCGACGCGGTTTCTTGGTACTATGACAATAGAATCATTAGATTGATCACGTTTGATTGGACGGAGAAAGAACGCGGAGGAAGATGAGCTTGGCTACGGGGAAGACCGGGGGAGGGGGCGACAGAAGTGCAGAAAGACTGACTTGAAGAGGCGGGTGATGAACTCCTCGAACTCGCCGAGTGCGTCAGAGTAGAAGGCGCGCGAGGTGAGGGTCAGCTGCTTCGCCTGCTCGACCATGGCCCTGTAGATGCGCGGGTGGCAGTGGCCCTGGTTGACGGCCGAGTAGGCAGACAGAAAGTCGTAATAGCGCCGGCCCTCGCAGTCCCACATGAAGACGCCCTCGGCGCGGCTCAGCGCCACCTCCAGCGGGTGATAGTTGTGCGCGCCGTACTTGTGCTCGCGCTCGTACACCTCCTGCGACGAGATGGTCGCTCGGGACGCGGCCGCCTGCCAGACCGCCGATCTACCGCAGGCACCGGCGATCATTCGCTGCAGCGTCGGTACTCGGGACAGTGCCGCTGACATCGTTGGAGCGCTCGGGGAATCAGAGTGGAGCTGCTGCAGCTGCTGCTGCGGCCAATGCTCTGTCGATGAGCTGCAACAACGGCTGGACGTTCGGTTTGACTTGACAACTGCGCCTCTTATCGCCGCGATACTGACGCGTTGCAATGCTCACATAACGTCGCGCGATAATGCGCGCACGCACGAGACGACGCCTTCGAGCAAAACACGTATTGGTGTAGTGGCGGCCGAGCGGTCTTTCCGTTTATCGCGTGATCATTTGTACACACTCGATGAATCGATGGATTCTCCGAATATTACCGCTGCTCGTCGAACATTCATCGTCGTTCGGTGAAAGCTCGTTCGTCTCGACATCAATTTTTCCCATCGCTAATGTTATTTTGTTTCAAAAAGCATTACGCGCCCGCCGATCGCAACCTGTATTTACAATTTCGGTGTACGCACAATTTCGCATTGCATGCATCGATGAGCCACGACTGTAGAGGTAGAGCAATATCGAGTACTCAGTCCGACGATATCGAATGAATACGCGCGCCGCGAGTATTGTTTCAAGCTGGCATGAGTGAATAAAATATTAACGTACATCGTAGACGCCGATATATAATTCTACGAATACTCTGCCAAAACGTGTTCAACATTTGTCGATTATATATGTGTAATGTATGATTCTTTAATTAATTCTAAATAGTTGAATAGCGTTGCGCTCTCTTGTTTATCATGAATGTAGCGTTAGTCAGTCGAATACCAACTCTCCTTCTATAATTAAATTACAAGCTTGAGTATTGGTTTATTGAATATACAACAATATGTACCGTATATTTCCAACAATATTAAAAAATTAGTCTGTTATCGACTCAATTATTAAACTCAAACATCCGCATCTCTTATTCCGCAAAGTTAATATAAGAAATCGATTATATAGTGAATTCAATTTTGATCATTAATAAAGTATGAGCCAAAGATTATCAATGACACAAATCTGTAAGAGATGAGTAATTATTCCTCGCTCCGAACAGACCTCTTGCCGGGCGCATGCTCCTAGAGCCGCTGGCTCGTACCCAAAGTGTAGTCTCGGATAGAATAAGGGAAAGCTGTACATGCTTCTCGAACACCCCGATGTGTATATCTAGCATATATGCCTACCACTATGCACTTACAAATCTTACTTTGACTTTCAAATGCAAATTTGTCTATGTATAAAAAAGGTATGCATTACATGATGAATCGTTAAAAACTCACCTTTGTTCAACGATATGACAAGATTATTGATATTCGGTAACGACAGAAATAAAATTTGTTTTATTTGATGCTAAATTATCATTAATATACAATATCTTCCATTAATTAATTTCGAAAATTTGATTCGAACGTACATAATAATACTCCGATATAATAAGGTTTCCAGCTTTTCAATATTGGTAAAAAGTGGCCAAAGGTCGACTCTTATGTGTATGATCGATTCGTTTACAGCAACAACGCACGGCCCGACGTCCAATTATTTCAATGTTCGTTGGCCCCAATTCAATAAAGTTTCTCGAGAACAAGTTTTGGATGCCAATGATCGCGAGCGCAGCAGAACAGAAGCAATTTCAAACGACAGACAGACAATTCTTTGGAAATGCATCAATTCACTCACGGTTTCGAGGAGGCAAGTCAAGTTATAAGATAGATGATCGTTAATTACACTTGGGTTTTTTCCGCGATGTCAGGCGTAGGACTTATTACTGGAGAAAGTCGACAGGTAGACAGTACGCTCGGTCAGATGATTCGACGGTTACTGAAGCCGGTTCGGCTCAAAAAATGCCTCTTTATATACCTTGCGCCCGTGTGATTTACTCAAGTACTCCACTGATTTAAATTTTCCTTGCAAATGTATCTCCCGATCGCCACGAAATTCGTATCGTTTACAATGTCATATATACCTATATATCGAGCGTTTACTTACAATACGTACCTACCTAGGAACGTTGAAGTGAGCGAAAGCGAGAAAGCTCGGTATATCTGCGCCCGACAGTCGGCTGATAACGAGTCGAGAAACTAAACTGCCGGTGAGACGCACGCGGTGGATTACGAGGATATTTATCAATGATGCCCGGGGCTCGATAATAAATCAAACACCTCTGAAATCAAAGCTCCCTGCACTACTTTTTGTACGTCATGTCCCAAGCTACTTTTGATTACACTACGTTCGCTCGCTCTCGATTGCAATTGTCGCGAGCACGTCGCAGATGAATGTCAAGCTTGCAAACGATATTTTAGTCGATTTTTTCTGCCCGTAAAGCTTAGTATAAACTCATCGGTTTGTTTTTAGAGAAATATATTTATTCAATTAATATATTATAACAATACTCATTAACTATCTGCGTATGTACAAGTCTTATAAAATTATCCTACTTTGTCGCGACAATTGCCCAGTTGCGCGGAGATGTTATTGGATCAAACAGCTGGATTAATTCCAACTTCTTGCAAATATTTCGCTTTTGCATGAATACTATTTTATCCAAAATAATTGCTGCCTCTACGATTGGCGCCAGTTCAATTCTTAATAATTGAAAAACCTGAAATTTCCATTCAAAACTTCTATACGAGTCGAAAATTTGTTCAAGAATTTCATCCGAAGGAAGCTGTAGAATGATAAATTACTGATCAATCGACTGTTTCAATACTTTATTATCATTAATGCAAAATGCTTACCTCCTTCAAGTCAAGCTTCGTTAAAGCCCATTTGGCGTACATTATAAAACTGTCCAGTGGTGCTCCGCGGCCAATCCGAGCTTCTTTGATTCCTAGTCAGAATTTGTAAAATATTAAATATCGAAAACATTAGTCATTCGTAACGGCAATGCATGTTCTTACCAATAGATTGAAGTACAACTTGGAGAACAGCTCTATAAAACAATGAAGGCGATAACGGCTCATTCTTCCGCTTGATTCTATCAGCAGACTGCTGTGCTAGCATTCTCGAATTCTTTGAAAATTCGTAGATACTTGAAAGTGATCGTGACGCCAAGTGATAACAACAAGGAACTAGGCACAATCTTTTTATATCACTAACATCCAAGAATGACTTTATTAAGAAATCAGTCAGCGACCCACATGCGTGCAAAGCAGTCAGAGCAAGCTCACTTTGTGAATATAAATCAGGATAATAATTAGTTGCTATCTGCACGAAATTTGTTGTTTCATTTATCTGCTCTACTACGTAGTTTATCTGGAATTTATTATTTACAAACATAAAATTGAACGAGACATCGCGGAAATTTATAATGAATATTTCTTCCTACCATAGACCTTGATAGTTTAACTTTTTTATTTACTAATTTTTGATGGGCAATCGCTCCTTTATGATTAATCTGAGAACACTCAATTGCTATTGTTGGAAAGTTATAATAGTTTGATAAATGTAAGGAAGAATATCCTTTGCCAGCTCCAGCATCAATAATAATGCTTGGTGTTTCTTCCACAAGCCATACTATTGCTTTTGTATATATACTAACTTCATGCCACTTCTTAACTTTCATGAATTCAAGTTCAGGAGATTGGTAAAATGGAATTTTTACGTTGTTCAATCTATTCATGAAATCTTTTCTAAGACATACACCTGAACAGTTTTCTAGCCTCAGAAGACTAATAGTTTTTAAAAACTTTTGAAGCTGAGAATTTTCATTTTGGTACAAATCATTGTATATTTCAAATTCATTAATAACAATCTGACCATTTTCCTCAATGTAATGTTTCAAGTCATCTGGCATAAATTTGTTCCATAAATCATCTATGAAAAAATCAACCAAATGACAATCTACTAGATTTTTATATTTCTCCAGAACGCTAATTATTTTTATAAAATATTTTTCTTGTTCAGACATTTTTGCAATTGTCGTATAATCTATGTTCTAAAAATCTAATTTGTTCGATTCAGGACTTGAAATTTCTATTTTGGCTAAGGAACAAATCTTTTTAAAATTCAATTTTATATTATCAAAATCATCAAAAATATCAACTGTATTATTATTGTCTAATGGGAAAATTTGTATCTTCTGCATAAGTGCTCTTGATTTTTCAAGAATTTTGGGAACTTTGCAAAAATGTTGAATACATATCAATACTCCAAAATAATATCCTAATAATGCTGCAAGAGAACTGGCTCTGTGATATCCAAGATGATATCCATCTACTAATTGGTTTTTGCCAGTTTGAAAACCTTCTTCATATGCTGCTTGTTCAGATAAATTTTCTGCCAACAGCAAATTCTCAAATGCTTCATTGATATCAACGTCACTGGATCTATCGCTCATATTTATTGTTATCTATAAATAATATACGAGATAATAGAATTACTTGAAATTAAATACTGTATTACTTAGCTATTACCATAATAGTCATTATCTTTCTAGTCAGAATAACAAATAATTTAATTTTTTAATTGCGCGAGATACAATAAAAATGTTATGAAAGCAAGTATAATATAATTTAAAAAATGTTCAATTGATAGGCAAAAAATTGAAATACTAACGTTAAAATAATAAAAAATTTCAAATTCATTGCCTTCTAATGACTTCGTTTCTCCTTAATACTTAAAACACGTGTTGAATGTTCTTTCTTAAGATAAGGGTATGATAATAAAGTTAATAATTTGTTATAATGACAAAAAAAGGTTATGTTCAATGTTAAATGTAACCAATGTAACATGCCGAGACTTTCTTCTCACTGCATTACTACTGGGCGACGACTGGTCAACGTTACTGCGTCAGTATTGAGTATAGCATCTGCTCTGCAGCCACGAAGCCATATTAATGGCCTATCCCCAATGCGACTACCCGACGACCACTATATATGATATGAACTATATGACTGACTATATCATTATTGTGTTTGGTAAAAATGTGCAATCAATCACACATTTACTGCATTTATTAAGGTTTCTTTAAAAATATTTTTGATTAACCAAAAGAATTCTAGCATTAATAAAGTGGCCGTAAAAATACTAAAAAATGGAACCTAAAGACTATCACGACCAGGTAAATTTTTTACATTTTCTAACCTCTTTCATTTTTCACAACTTTTTCCTTATTATTAAATTTAATTCTTATAATAAAATTTGTAAGAATACCGTTAAAATTTTGGAGCAAAACGTTGATATTTGCTTTATTTTTAATTTTATTAAACATCTATAATAGACATATTTTCAGGATCAAATTTTTCAACATAATTATGACGATGAACATGACAGTGATGTTGAAGCACGACTTTATGCTGAAGTTTATTATTCTAATACAATAATAGGCGAAGAAAATAATACAGATAATTCTGCATTTAAAAATCAGTGCCCTAATGCAGTTAATGACTTTGATAAAAGCAATTGTAATAATCACGATTTATTGCATGAGAAAAATATAACCCAAAACAAGAGTATCAATAATATTACATGTAACAAAAATTTAACTATGTTAAATGATTCTTCAGTTAATACTAAAACAACAAAGTCAACTAAAGAATCCAATACACGAAGTACAAATAATTTTTTAAAGGAATCAGTATCTACTCATAAAATAAATAATTTGAGTAACATAATTAACACACCTAATTCTAAGAAAAGGACATCTAATAAATGTTTGGATGACGTTAATAAATCCAGTAAAAAACAGAAACATACAAATCAAAATGATATAAAAGAATCACAATCAAGTCATTTTAAAGAACCATTTAGTGAACTTCGATCAAATCAAGGGAAAACTTTTCACCGTGATGCTTGTGCACTTGTCAATCCTTATAACAAAAATGTAATGGGCAATGAACAAAATAGTATGAAACTGTTGAGTCCAGAATTTATAAATATCTTCTTTACAGGAAGATCAAGGAAGAAGAAAAAGAAAGATCACACTTTCAAAAAAGACAAAAGTAAAAGAACAAGTAATATTATACCTGATACTGAGATTATAGAGCAATCTTCAAATATGACTCAAGTCGAAAATAATCTAGAAAATGATATTTCATCTAACTCACCTATTATTAATATAAGTTCTGAATCCTCTAATGAATCTTTTCAAGATAATTCAAAATATAATACAATTGTAGCAACAGATAAAAAACTGAAAGACCGGGAGTTTGGTTTCAAAAATACTGATAAAACTGATATGTCAGACAGTGAAGAATCAATTTTTGAAGTTCCTGTACCACCAAAACCAGCACCCCTCATTGTAGAAGTCGAAGATTCTGATAATGAACAAGAAAATCAAAGTGATAAAGATAACTTTCTCAATGATAGTGTTATTTCTCAAGAAATTATAGTTGAAAGTGATCACGAAATATCTTTAGATTCTACTCTAAATGAAACACAAGACACGTGTGAAATTATCTCAGATAATGATGATTTCAATAGTCTTATCCTTAACTGTACTGAAGTTCAAAAAGGTGTGTCAAATCTTAATGAAATTAAAAAACTGCATCAACAAAAGTTTATTCCCATTGAAACAAATTCTGACACGAGTTCAAGTAATATTCAACATTCTCAAAATATGTCATCGAATAATTCTATAGCTATTGAAAAAACTTGTACTAGTTTGAAAAGTAAGCCAATATCCAAGTCTTCTAGTAAAAACATTTCGTTAGCAGAATATTTTTTTCAACCTATGAATGAAAAAATGAAATCATTTTATAATGATTCATGGGGAGGAGAACACTTTGATATGAATCGAATGAAAAGTAATATGTCAAGTAAGTTTTAGTTTACTATTTTAGTTTTTATTTTCATTTTTTTAATTTGATTCACTTAATTTTTGCTTCATAACAAAACTTATAAAGATGCACATAGGTATTTATACATGAGACGGTAGTACATAATAAATAAAAACAAAAACAAAGTAAACAAAACTAAAACACAAAAATTGTTTCACAATCACAATTTATTTCAGTAATCTAACTTTTTGTAAAATGCCTGTTTTTAATAGTGTAGTTGTATTGTATTGTATCCATTTTTGAAATTAAATTTTTCTACTTTTTGTATTTTCATGTTTAGATTTTTCATAGTGCTGCTAAATTTTTAAAATATTTTAGAAGCCTCATATCTGTGATATCTACAAATATTAGTTTCGGTTCTAATTAATAATTTTATACTTAATTATATATTTTCAGCTGATCCCAATAAGTGGGCAATTCTAAATAAAGATTTAGTAATCACTGGGCCTAGAAAAAAACGGTATTTTGGAATGACGTGTCCCAGATGTCATAAAGATGGGCATAGGCTAAATAATTGCCCTGAACCTAACAAAGGACCAATTTGTCATATGTGTGGAGCAAATGGACATTTTGCGACTCATTGTCCTCATACTAAGTGTTTAACTGTAACTCGCTAAAAAATTTGTTATAAATATTATCTTGACTAATTTTATATGTATTTAATTCATTTTTAGTGTGGGAGACAGCAAACAATGTACAGAACGACTTGTGCATTCTGTGAAAAATTATTTTGTACTAGATGTAGATCGCAAGGCCATAAAATTGATACTTGTCCAGATTTATGGCGCCGTTATCATCATACCGTAATTAATTTTTTAAATATGTGTACAAGTGCAAAATCAACATAAAAAATGGTTAATTTTTTCTTTTTTTTTTAGACAAACAGTTTGGCTCCAAAAATTCCTCTTAATGTAAAAAATGTGATGAAATCTAAACATGAATTATTTTGTTGCAACTGTACGAAACAAGGTCACGATTCCTTGGCTTGTAAAAAGCTACGTTGGTCGCAACATTTCCCCAATCCCTCATTTGTGACTCATTACAATGGCCCTACCTATACTGTTACTACAAATTCAAATGCTCTATTAATAGTAGATGACATACAAGATAATCCATACAAAAAACACAACTCGGGAACATCCAATACAGTAACGACCAATTTTCCTCGCTCAGGCAGAAGAAATGAAAATAGTGTACAAAGTATCGTCGACGACCCATTCAGTGGTAATAATACCAATAATAAAATTATCTTTAATATTTGTAAGATGAATATCAAATTAAGTGGCGATCGTAAGTCAAAGAAAAATGCTATAAAAAATGTTATATTACAATTAAATGTGCCAGATAAAAATAATCCAGGTTCTGTTGAAAAATGGAAAAAATTAACAGACTTTTTACAAAGCTTTGGATATGATTTGTCATCTGAATTTCGTCTTGAACAAAAAGATAAACAGTTACTATTATACATAAAAAGTCCCCGAAAATACATGGAATCTTTATCTAATCTTATAAAACAATATTCAAGTCGTAGTAATTATGAAAGATCTCAAATGTTACTAAATACTAATAGAAATGTAAATGCAATCATAGAACATTTATCACTTAAATTTACTGAAATGAAAAATGTGACTGAAGATATTTCAATGCTATATGAAAAAACACGACGATTGCGTGAAGAGGTATTTGAATGTGATCCTACTCAAAATGAAACACATAACAGGTTGAAACTAAATGACTTAGTTTTATCGCAACAAAAATTAGTAATGTTATTGTACAGAGAAGGTTTTGCCGATGGATCACTTGGTCAATTGAGAAAAATATTTTTAAAAATGCAAAAGAGAACTGAACAAATTTTTTACAGCCGTAAAATTAAGAAAAATAATAAATACGCTATTGGTGTACGATTAGTGTCATTTAAATCGCTTTTTATTTACTTGCACTACTATAATAATATATTTGTTCCATATGAATTGAGAAAATTAGATAGTTACATCGAAAAATATAGGGAAAATGTAGAGAGAAGAAATAAACTTTTAAATAATTCACTCATATTTCCACAAGAAACAGACAAAATACAAAATAAATCTAATGAGAAACCTGTTCAAGAAAGTTTATCTAGGGCAAATAGTGAAACAACATCTCAAGAACTATCAATTGTACAAAATAGTGTAATAGAAACACCAGCAGATTTTGTTAGTAATAATTACAAATTGAATTTAGAATCACCAAATCAAACATTAGTATCATCAAAACAAAAAACTGATAAAAAATTAAATCTTTTATATTATCAAGCAATGCATGCTGAAGATCATAAGCGTAAATCCGATCTTTTACAAAATTTCAAAAATTTTATAAAAAATACCAGGAATTGTTTAGAACAGGCATCAAAATTAAACTCACCTCAATTGCATGATGATATTGTTGCGTTACGACGTGAATTGGAAGATGAAATTCATCTCAGCACAAGCAAAGTAAGGAAATTCAAAAAAAAACTTCACCAAGAAAGGTTAAAATTATTACAATCCATTACAAAGAAACAGAAAAAGAAGCATCGAACAACTCCGAATAATGCTAATGACGCTGATAATATTTATAAAAAATTTTGTGCAAGTTTGTAAATTGTTGACATACATAATTTAGGTGTTGTAAAAAATGTCTATAAATAAACAATTTTACTTTTATTTACTTTTAAAGCTGTAAAAATGTAGATGAAATGAAAAGAACATTATAAATTTTGTATTACTTATACATAGAAAGCTTTTTTATTCATCTATATCTCCATCACACACAATAAAAGAATTTATTTATTTACACTTAAATTCAAAATGGTATCAAGCTAAGAGAATCTTGCTATTTATTTCTTGGTTGATTGTGGTCCTTGAGGAGGTGGACCTGGAGGTCGTACAGGACCCATTGGACCCATTGGTCCTAACATAGGACCCATAGGTCCCATTGGACCCATCATTGGAGGACGTACACCCATCATTGGTGGCATAGGTCCATGTGGACCCATCATCATAGGTCCTCCAGGTCCCATTGGACCACCAGGATGCATTCCTGGAGGTGGCATCATTCCTATAAAATATTAGAACAGTTATATTCATTAATTGATTCAAGATAACATTATACAATTATTCAACTAACAGTAATCTAACTACCATTAGAACTTAATTAATTATTTGCAGTGAATGCTAAATATAAAAATAACTCGCCTGGTGGTTGGTTTGGTGGTGGTACACCAGGTCGTGAAGGAACACCTATATTTGGTGGAGGTGGTATTGCAGCACCCTTATTTGGAGCAAATGGATTTGATGCAATTTTTCCAGCTTTAAAAGCAGCCGTTGTTGCATCAATCAAGTGTTGTGCTTGCTCTTCCATCCATTTTTGATAAAAATATTTGACATTATCTTTGTGTTTACGTCCTTGACAGTGAGTTTTTCTTACACTTGGAGAGTCGTGTGTTAAGTATGTGTCACAGTAATCACAGTAATATTTCGGCATGTTGACTGTTCCTGTTGAAATAAAAATATTAACCATTCAATCACTTCTTTAAATCAACCTAGCCGAATAAAATAATAATCATTAATCATAAAAGGAAATAAAAGCAATGTATTACGTATTTTAGGTTATCTGAAATATAATATTTTACTTGAAATACTTGATACAATTTTGGTGAAATTAGCAGTATGACAATAAAGTAATAGGTACAAAAATTAAAGATAGCTGTGTTACGATCGTATTATACTCACAATTAATTAATTGATTGTCAAACTAAACATTAATACAAATGTAAACTAAAGTTAGTATCTCAAATTATAAACTACATTCAGTATCAGTTTAACTGCTGTCGCGACCGGCGTCACTAGCCTAGAGATTAATTGAAGTCCGGGAACAAAACTATACCATAACTGCACTATGGAGACTACGCGCCATCTAACGTTGTGTTTAACCGGCTAGGGCTACTGCTACTCGAAATACTCGGTCGGTCGTGACCGTGAGCGTCACTCGTTATAGACGTCCTTGTCACTAATACTATCATATTTAATATTTTTAATTATTTAACGAACCTCTTATCTTTTCAGTGATTTTATCTTCGGGGATGATTTCATATTGAACGCGGGAACGCATGAACTGATCAAATTTACTTAAGAATTAATGTATGTTCCATAACAGTCCTTTTTAAAAATGAGGCCAAAGCTCAGCTCTAAATTTAAATTTGCATTTTGTCCTAAAAATAGGCGGCGTGCGAAAAAATACGTCAGGACTTTTTTATTTATTGAGTAACGCAGAATCGATTGAGATGATTAATTTATAAAAACCTAAAAAAATTAAATTTTAGGCGATTAATTCCACGACCTGCTCATAACCTCTCGGGGTATCGCAGCAATCGCAATAGTCAGTTTGAGACTCCTTGAAAAAAAAAAGGGAATACGAGGTAAGAGTAGGGTGTGAGGAGAGGAGAGGAAAGCAAAACTCGGCGAAAGGAACTTTCGGTAGCAATAATACTTACATACCTATATGAGCTATCATGGCTGACTCACACTAAGGGATAACATCATTTTTTACGCTCACTTAGGCACAGATACAGTGGTGTGAAAACAATAGGCAGTGAGGAAAGCAATGCCGAGGCAGTAACTCGAGTTGTCGGGTTGTCGTGGGGCCGGGAGAGAAGGTGGCTGATCGCATTCCATCAAGAGATTCTTTCTCACCACCCACTCTTCGAGCCGTTTGCTAACCTTCCGAAAGACGCAGTGTGTTCAGAGATAAAAGCGAATTGCAGAGAAAAAAAAATTAAAAAAGTGCGCGTTGCCTGTTTGGTGCTCTCTCTACTTCCTTATGTTCTCGGCCGAGACGCAATAACGATCACAAGAGGCAACGTTTCAACGTAAAATGATGAACGGCTTAAGCTTAAGCGAGTTATGCTGCCTTTTCTGCTGTCCTCCCTGCCCGTCCAGAATTGCTGCGAAGCTGGCTTTCTTGCCACCGGAACCCACCTATTCCTTGATCGAGGATGAGGGCTCTAAGTACACCATCTCCTTGTCCGAAAGAGCCGAATGGCAGTTTACAGAGAGGGAAAAGGAATCCGTTGAGGGCTTTTACGCGAGAACCTCTAGAGGCAACCGCATCGCCTGTCTCTTTGTCAGATGCTCTGCTACTGCCAGGTTCACCATTCTCTTCTCTCATGCCAACGCCGTTGATCTCGGTCAGATGTCCAGCATTTACCTAGGCCTTGGCTCCAAAATCAATTGCAATATATTCAGCTATGACTATTCCGGATATGGAGTGTCTGGAGGCAAACCATCTGAAAAGAATCTGTACGCTGACATTGATGCTGCCTGGCATGCTCTCAGGACTCGTTACGGAATAAGTCCAGAAAACATAATTTTATATGGACAAAGCATTGGTACTGTACCCACAGTGGATCTTGCATCCAGATATGAAGTAGGAGCTGTGGTACTGCATTCACCTTTGATGTCTGGTATGCGAGTTGCATTTCCCAACACCAAAAGAACTTGGTTTTTTGATGCTTTTCCTAGGTAAGTCGTTACAAATTATATATTTCTTGATTTTTAGTTACATAATTGATCTATCACAGTGAATTATTATACTTTCAATCTTAATTAGCTTTTATATATTTCAATTTATTAATTTGTTCTCTAAAAAAATATTGCAACTTATTCAAATCTTAAGAGTAGAAATAAGCATACTAGAGAAAAATCTGCCACTTTTTCTTTGCTTTGCAATATATATTTCCTTACACGTAATTAAATGCAATTAAAACTAAGCTTTACGCCCTATCTCCTTAACTCTTTCACTTTGTGAATGTAGCCTCATTGTATGTTGATTTATCATTTAGTAGAAATCATTTGTGGAAATTCCAAGCATTCATTTTCACTCGCAATTTGCTTTAATAAATAATGTGAAAAAGTGTATTAATAATTGACCTAAGATTCTACTTTTACTACAATGACTTACTTTACTACAATGACTGCTGATTGTTACAATTTGTACACAGTTGATTATTAACAAAAATATTTTAAACATTCCAGCATAGACAAAGTACCAAAAGTTACTTCACCTGTGTTGGTTATTCATGGGACTGATGATGAAGTGATAAATTTCAGTCATGGCTTGGCCATCTACAAGAGGTGTCCAAGAGCTGTTGAACCATTATGGGTTGAGGTAATTAGAGATACTAATACTTTACAGATACATTTTCAAAGTTTGCAAAAAGTTTGATATTAGTTAAGCTGATGAGACTTTGACAGCATACAAAGCACTTTAACTCTAGTCCTAGTCTTTTAAAAACAATAAGTATTTCAAACAGCAGGGTTGCAATCTTCTGCATGTGTCATTGATTTCCTTTAATTGAAGTAATACATTTTGTGGAAAGAGTATTTAACCTGAACAATATGAAAAGTTTCTTGGCCTTTAATGCATTTTTGATGTGCTTTTGGATTTCTAATATATTTAAATGAAAAATAAAGTAACTACCGTTTGGTGAATCATTCTTAATTTTGACAAAATTCTAGGGTGCTGGGCACAATGATGTGGAGTTGTACAATCAATACCTGGAGCGACTTAAGCAGTTTGTAAGCGTCGAGCTGGTGAACTGACGTCGACTGAGCCTCTCTCAAAGTCAGGGATGCGGTGGCGGTGGTGCACCGACGCAGCAGTCTAACACACAGCAGTCTCAACAAAAGAATCGTCGACAACACTCGACCTCGAGTGACTCGAGCATAAGCTCAACCACATCCAGCCCCAGCTCGGAGCTATCGATACCTCAATTGTCGCCGTCAGTCAAGGACAAAAATTACGTGCCTATGCAGGTCGGAGACGAGATATTCTTTTTTTCTGAGGAGCGCCTCAGGGCTAAAGGGACTGAGATAACGTCTCCGAAAGAGAAGGAGAAAAGCGAGAGGACGAAGCTCAACTACGACGAGTCATCCAAGAGAAGTCCCGTCAATGTAGCCACCGCCAACAACCAAAAGCAAGTTTCTCCATGCGAGGAGCGCAGCAGAGAGCGCAGTCTCGACTGCCCAAGTACGAAGCTGACCGGCATCAAATGTCAAAGCTCCCGGCAAAGAACGTTAGAGAAAGCGACCAAGGAAGGCAGCAAGAGTCTGGTAAAGATCCAAGTCGAGAACTGCTATAGGGAATCCTTACTGCCCTCTAAGCCCCAGTCTCCCGAGGAAGAAGGGTCCGTCGCGCCCAAGGCCAAAAAGAGTGACTACAACTGCCGAGGCTCCCTGTCCGACAGTGACTGCGGCGTCATCAACAAAAGCAGCGTCAAGAGCAAGAAGTGTAACAGCAGCGAGCAACCGGCAACGCCCAGCTACAACAGCAACGCCAAGAAGCCTCCCAGCAGCTCGGACCCGGCCAGCAAGAACAAGTTCACCTGGTGCGGCAGCTGCAAGAGCTCCAAAAACCCCGGTTCCTCACTGGGCCTAGGTTCGAAGACGGCCGCGTCCGCGGCGGCTGCAGTGGCGGCGGCGCACGAGCGCCAAGCCAAGAGCTACCTCAAGAGGTTGAGCCGCTCATCGCTGTCCACCGACTCGGCGGCTGCCGACGCCAACAACAAGATCTCACTCAACCTGTCCAAGTATTCGCCGTGCGCCTCCAGGCTAGCCGCCAGCTCGAAGATTTTGTCGAGCGACTCTCTCGGTTACGGTCCTGGCGCTAGCGGTGGTACCAGCCCTGAGAGCCCGCTACACACGGCACGCGCCAAGAGTCCCGTGCAGCCCTGCCTGTCGCTCAAGATACAGAAGTTGCAGGAGCAGCCGACGCCGTCGCGCAGTAAGAGCGTCAGTGATAGCTGCGTCACCTCGCCGACCAGCGACGCCACCAGTTCATCACCGCCTGGTACCGAGGTCATCTCCCTCGAGGACGTCAGCCAGAACAGAGAGGAGCGCTGGAACTGTAATCACCGTAATCTGCGTTGAATGGACGTGCATCACTCGCTCGCGTTTATCTTCTACTTATTCTTCTACTTTTTCTTTCTTAGTTTTAAGCAAGCGGGACACGCGTGGTAATGGGACGCGATATTTTCCGGGAGATGAAAATATACGCCGAATCGTTTCAAATGTTGCGCTACTTGATACTGACAGCACTGACAGTTGAGTGCTTAGCGTGTGAGAATGTGTTGTTAGATTGTTGGGGTTTGGAATACGCGCGTGTACTTTATAGAGCTAATTTTTGCGGCGACACTTCGACGCCTACATTTTTCTACATACATAAGAATAAATGCGGTGCAGATAGAATAATATTGCTCTACGACATTAACATTTGTTTACTTTCTTTCATCCTTTTTTTATAATGTATAAGACGATTTCTTTTGGTTTAAATTTTATTTTAGACAAGTTTTTCAACTTTGAAGTTATTTCAAAGATTTTTATATATGGATTTGCGAGTTCTACGTCGCGTGCATTTAAATTTTTTGAATAAAAATTTGCGTCGTTACTTTTTTTATAATTTAGATCGGTTTATTTATATTTGCGTTGAATTAACTGAAATTCGAGAGAAAATTACCATGTCGGGCCATTTATACATTTAGCAGCATACATGCGGTGGCTGCATATCAACTAGAGCATTTTTACTAAAATAATTGCTAGATAATCGCTGTGAATTGTTTCATTCGTTTGAAAATTTTGTATAAGTCTCAAACTTCTAAAGAAAACAGTACAAATGTATAAATTATATTAATCTTTCATTTTTCACTTTTTTACAAGCATGCTAATATTGTTTGTGTGTCTGTGAACGAAGGAAAAAAAATCTTGGCGATACATGTTGTTGCGATATTAAGCATACAAAAAATATGTGGAGTATATTACATATGAGTATTATTACAAAATTAGACAATCGATTGACATGTAAGTAACGAGAACTTTGTCATGCCAAGAACAAGTTTCTTAGCTATCTTAGCTACACTGTGATGTTCCGATCTTCGATATTTTGCAAGATACGCTCCGTATCGGCCACTATGCTGTCTCTTATTTGTTTTTTTCTTTGTGAATGGGATTTATATTTTAATTGTTATATTTACAGATATTCAAATTCAAAATTGCATTTGTAACTGAAGTGCCAAAAAACGCTGACTAGATACTCGACGATTATATCATCATTGTCTTTTAAATATTTGAACAATATTCTTCCGCACCTTCGTTGAATTGAAAAACTTACTAAAACATTAATAAAATGTCTTGTTAATTTAAAAATATGTTTTAAAACAATGATAATTCGATTATTACCGTGGACTCGTCAGTTTTAATCTAGATAATTTTTAACATTACGCATAATTAAGTAGCGATTGATGCTTATTTTATCTACAGAAAATAATAATTGTTCTCAATATGTGAATTTGCGCCAAGTACATTTTTACTTACAAACGTAAATAATGAATTTATTGGAATCCTATTTATTGAAAGCGCATAAGAAAATTTTCCAAGTTCTGATTCAAATCCATCTATGAAATTGATAATTGATGTTTCGTAAGTGTAAGCAATACTTAAATAATTTGCCAAAAAGGAAAAATGCGAAGATTTTACAATTTTGCAGATTTGTGAGTGATGTGGTTCTGCATCATTTGGCTGTAAAAGTCTCGATTACGAAAGTTGATTGATTCTTTATTGATTAATAAAATAAATTGTATTACAAAAAGACTTTTTTCCATCATTACTGAATATCGTTGACAACTTAAATTCAAAGTGCAAACATGAAAACTGTTTTGGATATTAATGTTGAATATAAGAAGTGCTCAATTTATGTCGCCTCCGTATCACGGATAATTTTTTCTTAAATTAAACATTGACGGTAACAATAATTTGTGAAAAATTTTCATCGACTAATATTGTATTACAATAGATTTAACTGAATTATAGTTGGAATAACTTAAGAATTATAAGTTTAAATAAAGATCGGTCGACTGCATTCCATCGGCTCTACTACTAAATGGAGCATTGCAAGAAGGCTACGTAAACACTTGATGGGAACGTGTTTACCAAATTCTAAACTATAATGCATCAATTACGTGCAATGAAAGATGCATGTACATAATATATATCTTCCGATATAGTGATCGACAAAGTACAGTACCTACTCGTATATTATTGCAATGAAACTCTGTCATAGTTACATTTTCATAAAGATAGATAGAAGATAAAATATCTGAATACTAGCTTTCGCCATTTTCACACTCAATTTTCATTTATACTTTCAATTAAAAACAATCAATTGAATTAGCGCTAACTTTCAGACATTACGGTGATTTAGTTGTGGTTACTTTAATTTTTTAATTGTAATATTTGAGATAATTTACTGTAATTATAATTATATCAATAACGAAAGCTCGTAATTTTGAAAAAAAATTGTGTAAAAAATTGTAAACAAATTAATAAGAATACAAATAGTTAGGGACAATACACTGCCAAACTTTGACCGTACGTTAGTTAATTTGTAAAATGAGAAAAAATTGTTAACAAGTTAAGAAATCGTTTATGCAACTTTGACCATAATATGTTTCTTGTTAATATTTTTATATTACACAAATGTAAATATATGAATCATTTTAACAAAGGAGTTAAAGATACTGTAATGCAGTGTAGCATTGAAATTACAGTTTGAAGACTCAATGTACCAATGGAATATTACCAAGCGCTCATTGTGAACATTGTTTTTTAACATGTAGACTGTTTCAGATGATTTTGACAGTTCTCTAGGATATACTGCATTTTACATCAGGTGCATTTATGAATCGCATTCACTTCTGCTTCTCTGGTAATGCCAGGTTGTAAATGCTACTGAAAGTTTGTCATATTCCATTTGTTCATTCCATTTTTTTTCACTTTGACGCATCTAATTATAAAAAATAATATATATATACATACTGAAAATTTAAGTAATCTCTTTAAGCAGTAAAGGCTAACGGTAAATTACTTAAAAGTAAAACCAAATATCAATAAGGAATTTTGTACATATAACACTGCAATATCAAGAAATTTGTTATGTCTATCTGAACAAGCATTAATTTTTTGTCTGTCGTCGGCATTGTAGAAGGAAAATTTCGAATTTTTATCTAGATTGGGCACGAAAAACTATGCCGAAACTTCTCTTTGTAAATACTGATATACCATAGTTTGTAAGATCAATACAAACATAATGTCCATGAATCCAATGATGGAATATCGAGCGCGAAGCAAATATAATGGTATAATTGTTGTTACGTGTAACTGTCCTTTTTACGTTGAGTTCTATGTGCTCTCTACATACGAGAAAAATTTATTTAGCATCCCCTAGCGACAATGTCAACAGTGTTTATTTGATTTTCTTAATTTTGAATAAAATTTCGAACAAAAATTCACGCAATAAAAATAACATGCATGTGTCTGAGTGATTTTGAGAATGCGTAGACTGTGTACGAAGATTTATTGCTAAAATGGCCGAACATTAAAACTTGCACGTTGTTTCCTTTTCAATTGGAACTTTCACAGTGATATTTATTTATCTTTCCGTCTGGGAGTTTTTTGAGCAAATAAATAATTTTTACTGAAAGCGTAAATTTTGGTCTAATTTTGTAGAGTTAAGAAATCACTGGATAAAGACCCACCCGAGAGCAAAGATTCAAGATATTTCTGGCCCGCGATAGAAATTAAACACGTCCTTGAACGCGCGCCGTTTGAAAGTAACGTTGACTTCTCTGTATTTATACCCGCTGTAGAGGGGGGGGCGATGGGGGCAATCGTTATACTTTAAAAATACCTCAATTTTTCCGTTCATAATCGATTTTCAAACATAATTGATGCTGAATCGATTAAATCCAGAATGACGATGTTATTTATATTCGTTATCGATTTTATATATATGTATACAGATTAGAAGTGGAAAAATATGACACAAACTGATTATTTTAGTTGTAAGCAGAAAAAATGTTCATTATGACCCTTCACTCATAAAAAAGATACAAATTATTTTGATCGCTGGTAATGAGATGGGAGTAGATAAAAAGACTACAGAGGACGTTAAAAAGTTCGGAATTAGAAATTGTTATATAAAGAAGGCGATGTCGGCCGAACACATTGTGGTGATTCGAAGCTTAAAAATGCGTAATAGTGGCATTATAACACCTTCATAGCTGTGTACCGCTTAGAACGCGGAAACTCTTTGTAGGCACGATTACGTAATATCTAGCGAAACAAACAATCTTGTATAGCCTGTTCGTATTAGTAAGACTTGCTTAATGGCGAACCGTCGAGTGCCCAATAACAGCGTGGGTATGTGCCATTGAGAATAGAAACAACGATTCGTGGCCTCGTGGTGGGGCAAAAAAAATAACGCGGAAAAAGCAGGTCTGACAAAGGATAAGTAGTCGGTGCGGTCATCGCGTCGAAGCGTATACGCGGCGTGCGCGTCACGCTCTCCCCATTGAAATCCTAAACGGACACGTGTAATGAAGTAATTACACGCTCGAGAGCGGGGAAACAAGGAAGAGCCCACGTCGGCGAACGCGATTACTCGAGGCGTTGCTTGGCTTCGCCATGCTTGATATTGCTGTTTTTAGTTTTTTTCGTTTCGTTTTTGTTCCGCGTACGCGTGCAGGTGCGAAAAGGGTATTTTCTCGTTAGGCGCAAACGAGCGAAGAAAGCTCGCGCGCAGGCTTCGTTTGGCTCTCTCTCTCTCTCTCTCTCTCTCTCTCTCTCTCTCTCTCTCTCTCTTTCGCAGCTGTTCTTTTTCATTGCGCTCGCGGGGGGAATGTAATGAAGCGACGTTAACGATTGCACGAGCGTCGTGCAACGAGCTTCGAACACGAGTCGCTGCGCTGCGCACTATGTGCCCTCAAATAAATCTGCTTTACCAGGCATAAATTACGCGCGCATACGTAGGTGCCCGAGCACGTGTTCGCCAGTTTGCCAACGGTACGGCTACGGCCTTTTGTTCCTTCCCCGGCAATTTTCACGACGCCACGGCGTGTTCGCGCGCGCACCAGATAGACGTGGAAAGCCAATTCGCGTGCGCGCAGCACGGATGCCTGCGATGCCTCGAAACGTCGTCCGCCGAGAGGAAAAGCGACAATCCGCTTAGCACAGCGTTACCAGCAGCGGAGTCGACTGCCGCGACAAAAGCGAACGGCGTCCGCTGTCTGACGAGGCGCGCGCCCAAGATCCAGACTCTCGATCGGGCGTTGCGAAACAATCGTCTTGCGACCGCGTAGCCGCAGACGGCAAGGCGCGCACATAACGCGCGCGCGGAGAAAGGCGCGAGATATTCGGTCGACCGCTGGTCTACACTCGTACCGTATACGTGTATCCATACGTGCATGCGTCCTCGGCGCGCCACTGAGTTTTACTCGCGCGGCTCAATGCCGCCGGCCGCTTGTATAACTGGCTTTTAATGCCCGCCGAGCGCGAGCGAGTCTTTTCACTTATCAGCTTTTGACATCGCCACACACCACCACGCTCGTTTATATACGCTCGACAAGGCGAGCTTTTTCCCCATTCGCCGTATCTGCGGCCCCCGAACAACATTGCGACGACGCGAAAACCTCCTTTGTCGCGCGCGCACGGCGCCTGTTCCTTTTTTGCCCTTCTCACACCGTGTGTACGTACTAATGCGAGATTTTTTCCTTTTGTGCTCTGTCTCTCTCACTCTCCGTCGAGTGTTCCTCAAGGACCTCACGCTCAAATATAAAAGGCTGAATACATGCGCGAGAGAGAGAGAGAGAGAGAGTACACGCTCGAGGGTTCGCGCTCGAGATTGTTTTTCAAGAGGTTCTTGCGAAAAGCACACTCGTATGAGTTTTCCTGCCCGGCGCTGCTCCCAGACTTTGACGAACTACTCGCGCGAGTCGTGCATTTAAACTTTGCACTCTCGAGTTTATCGGGGAGTGCCGAAAAGTATCCGATTAATCGTGAGCCAGGAGGTGACGAGCGACCACTTTGTCGTGCGATCTCGAGTGTCCGTAGCAGCGCGACGTTTCGACGCGCCGTCAGCTTCTCGCCTAACAAGCCAAGATGAACGTCGCGGCAGACGCGCGGGACGCAAAGCCCCTCCAGTCACGAGCTAGTTAGCCCGGTGGCGATTCCGCGGGCCGACGAGGAATGGCCAATCGAGCGTCGTCGCCCGAAAGCAAGGACGACGACGACGGCGCGCGTGTGTACGTAACGCTCGCGTTGGCCGTAGCCGAGCCGAGGACAGGTGAGTTCGGCCCTTTGTCAGAGCTGCGGGCAGCGCGAGATTAGAGACCGAGCCGCACGGCTTGGCCTGCGCGTATAGGCAGTGTCACGGCGCTGAATAGAGGCTCGGCCGGTGGGCGCTCGGTCTGTCGTCCGGCAATTACCGCGGGCCGGGCCCCCGGAACAGAAGCTAATGACGCTGACCGCATTGGCCGTGCGCTCGGCAAGCCGTCTTCGCGCCGGCGGACCCGGACGTTGCTTACCAACACCTCGTTGCCTCGCGAGGGCGGTTAAGCCGGGTCGCGCGCCACCGTCGCCGGATAATCGAGCGCCGATCGACGGTCAAGCGTCCCGCTGGGACGGCGCGTCGTTCGACCGCGCTACTTATAGCCGTTGTCGCCGACTCGTTGGTCCTGTCCGCGGAGGACCCGGCAAAGGGCGCCGGCTCGGCGTTCCTTCTGACTTATTTACTCGCGACGGCGCACGCACCGGCGCTAAATCTGTCGGACAGCCGGCCGGAGGAGGTCGGCTCGCATCTGGCGCCGCGCACCGAGAGAGAGCATAATGAATTTGAAAGAGTCTAATGAACCTGCGGATTGTCGTCGCTGCTTTACGGCCGGCACTTTCGGCCTGTTTATTCTCTTTGAGCCAGCCAGCTGCTCGTTCTCCCGGCGCTTAATCCCTTTGACGTCCTCTGCTCGCTCCCCCGGGCTTTTGTATTCGCAATCGAATTAAGCCCACGACTTTGGCCTGTAAATCGTTGATGCCCTCGTCGCGCAAGACTCGCCGATAGGAAGACGCGAAGCCGAGCAGCTGTCGCGACGGGTGAGGCGCGCGCGGCCGACAGGCAGGCAGGCAGGCACCGTCGGTAACCAGTTGCCAGAGTGTAATTCGTTCCGCAGTTTCTCGCGAGGCGATAGCTGGCCAACTCGGCAATGCCGCACAGCAGAGCCCGGGGAGGACCGGCGATCCTGGACGAGAGAAAGGGGCTTTCTCCGGCGCGCGACGACTCGTCTCGCGGGCCTGCGCAGTCGTATCCGGCTGCGGCTTCTTCGATGATTCATTCGGCCTCGCCGACGAAGCGAAGCCTTCGTCGACTCTCGATTCAGCGATCGATGGTGGTTTGCTGACAGCTACATTGCTGAGCCGTGCGGCCGGGCGCGACTGTTAGTCGTAAATAGAGCCGCTGCCAAACATCACGTAATCGCGCTGTTCGCGCAAAGTAGCGCGCGGCCGATGCGACGCGCTCGCCGCGCGGCGAACGTGATGTTGACGCGTCGATTTGTTTTCGGCGCATGTAGAAACAATTAGAGTATTGCGCCCGGCCCAGTTCGCTCTCCTTTGGCGCGCGCCGCTCTTATTGAGATTGCACCGAGTCCTCGATTGACACAAGCAATTCTACATACACGGCTCAAAGCTACTGTGCGGCTCGCCTGGCGTTGCTCTGTGCGCGCTGTACGTGGTCGTTTTATGTAAACAAGTCGCGCGCGGCAGCGGCGGCGGCGACCCATTCCGCAATATCCCTAGCGTAATATCGCCCATCGCGCGAGCGAGCGGCTTTGCAAGTCATATACGAGCAGATTCACTCCTTCCCGCTGCTCCCTACGCCTCACCCGTTTTGCTTTCCACTCTCTCTCTCTCTCTCTCTCTCGTTTTTTCGCGCTACACGCACACGTTGCGGCGTACCTTGGCTTTGTTAGTGAACGAGCGCGACTACGGCTACTTGCTTGCCGCTGCGGCCTTTTTTCCTGCTTTATCACCTAACCTCGGTGGAAAGAATAAAAATAAAATGACGCGCGTTTTTCACCTTTAATGGAATTGTCGAACGGAGCGCGCGCGCGACCGCATACTTGTTGCAATTGCGATGACCCATCGCCCGCTAATCGGCCCAGAAGTTGGTCGTTGCTTCTACGCAGTACCCGCCGATGGAAAGTTAATGATAGATCGTCGCCAGCGAAAGCAGGAGAGCGGGAAAAAAAAGTTGGCGGGGAAGGCGATCCACCCGAGAGCTTGGGGCTGTCGCGAGGTTTGAAAACGAGCGCGTGGGACATGCTCCGAGTGGCCGTCGAACGAAGAAGGCCAAAGGGCGACTCAAATCGGCAATTAGCACTCCTCGTGCGCTCTCCGGTGCCCCGTTTCGAGAAATCGTTCGCGTTCGTCCGTTCCTCATCGCCGTAGGCTCGCTGGCGCTGTCGATCGATTCGCGAGCGGCTCGCCTGATTTTACTGCGCTCGCCTCATTACGCGCCATTTGTCCCTTTATTGTTCCGCGAAGCTCGAGCTTTCGCAATATCGACTGACCTTGTTTCGCCGCTTTTAATGCGACTCGATTAAACAGCCGCGTCTTCTCTTAGGCTGACTCTGTGCAATTCGGAGAATCGTCGCAGGTGTCACTGCAATTGCAAGTATATCAACTGTTGAGACTCGTGTAATGACGAGTTGTCCTGAAATATGAGCTCTCAGCTTACTTTCCAATAATCAATGTATTCTCAAAACAAATTCCGCACCGGAGGATAAATAAAGGAACGACGCTATACTTTATTCCCAAACGTCAATTTTTCGGTAACGAGTACGATTGACAGCCAAGTGGAGCCAAAATTATCGAGGCGACGAATACAAAAGAAGGAAGCGCGAACGCTGAAACAAGGTAGAGCTACAGTCATTTGGTGGGTTGGGTTGGGTGCGAGAAGCGAGAATCGGCTCGACCGGCCGAAACAGCCCTGGGCGCACGCACCCGGCTCGAGGACTAATTTGATGGGCGCGCGTCGCGCCGACCACCGGGACATGGCCGGCCGAGCGCGCGAGAGGAGCGGCTCGACCGGGCCCCCACCTCCGAGCTCCCTCTCACCTGCGGCACGCCCGCGGAACCTGACCGACGCGAGCCAGCGACGCCCCGACGACAAAAATCGGAAAAACAGGTTGCAAGCACGCCGCCTGGCTGCCTTTTCTCTTTCCCCCGACTCGCTCGCACACCCATGCCTGCCGTAGCAGTACTGTATGCCACTTGTCCACTCGGCCTTGTAGCTCGCCAACTCCTTCTCTGCGATGCATGAGCACTGGTCGACGTCCTGCCCGACCGTTGCCCTCGTTTTTATGCTGATATCGAGATTCTCTCCGCGATATTCCATTTCCGGCTGTCCACTCCGATGCTATTGTAATCTTTTCCGAAGACCAAAATAGCGCGATATCCCCGTTGAAATTCTGTAAATAATTGATTAATTGATTAAGCCACTCCAATCTCTCGTAAACGCTGCGCATCGCTTTAACTACTTGCACGCCTTACTCGCGACCATTCGTAAAAATATTACTTTCAATTGCAACTGCCACATTCGGATTGAAGAGATTTACGAGCCAGTTGTTCCGTTGCCAAAATCTAAGTTTATTTCACCTGAATAATTTCCCGATAGTACCGCGAAGTGTACGCTTTACATTATTAAAAGGTATGTATCGATTTGATTAGACACGAGCTCTCCATTTACGGCTCATGATTTTTGCGATGCTTTTAATCACTATGAATGAGGGCCAATCCAGGCGCCGCAGTCGAGGCGCGATAGGTTGGGTTGCGTCGCAACCTCTTCGAGGTAAAGCGCGCGCGCGAGTGCCGCGACGATGCGCGGCCGAGGAGAGCGTCCCGGCAAAATCCGCAGGCGGGCGTAGGCCGGCCGAAAACGCGAGCCGACGAGGTGTCCGGGGGCAAATATGCGAGCGCAGTCCATTTCCCCGTAACGGCCCACGCACTCGCGCGCAACGACGACGCCGAGGCGCAGCGCGACGCGCAGTCTGCCTTGTCCCGCCGACCGCGCGCGACGTCTCCTTGGTTTTTCCCATCGGCGAATCCACCGCGGCCGACCTCGCTGCGTCGGCGGCGTCGAACGAAACGGAGTCGAGGATGCGCCCATTATTCGGTAATGACGACCCGCGAAACGACGCCAGCTTTGCACGCCGCCTGCCTGGCACAGTCGCAATACGTTCCGGGAAAAGTGAGTCACGAGAGTACTTGTCCAAATGAAAATGCGAGCGCAAAAGAGCTCATTGTCTTTCGGCCGTCGCACACGCGGCGCACGGTGGATAAAGTGGCCGTCCGGAAGGCCGTAATTTGATTTTCAAGCCGGGCAAACGCGAGCAGCGGCTGAATGCCCGGCGTGTTCGACGTAGCAGTTCCTTCAGCGCCAGCACAAAGCTCTTATTCCGCACTCGGCTTGTCCTGTGAAAAGCGACGCTGCATTTAGCGCGAAGCGAGGGTCGCGCGTGCGCCATGCTCAATTGCTGTTTTCATTCGCGTAAAAGCCGCGCGCGCGCGATCGCAAAACCGGAGGCCAACTCGAAAGGGACGGAGACAGCGTGGTCGCGGATTGCAAGGACCTCGTTACCGTTAAAATCGGCAAAAAGCGTCGTGGCGGCGCATGTGGCCCCTTGTCGCAGAGGCACAAGCGCGGTCAAGCGGAGCGTCACCGAGGCAGACGCGCGAACCAACGGACAGATGGACGGACGGACGGACAGACGGACGGACGGGCAAAGCGCGGCCGCAGCTTGCATACGGCCGCGCGCGCTTGCGGCGAGCTCGAGACTCGGAAACAGTGCCGCGCTGGCGCTAATGCCGATTACGCGCCGAGGTTACGCGAGGGGGCTCGCGCTTCTTCGCATTGGCAGCCTCGAGCTCGCGAACGCCGCGGCTCCGGCCGCATCGTTTCCCGGCGCTGCGCCCACGCACGAACGAGCTTTCTCGAGTCGCGCTTGTTATTGCCATCACGTTCACCGCCGCCAGCAAAAAAGTGCTTGAAAATAGACAGGCTTTTCACGGCTCTCTCTCTCTCTCTCTGCTGTAATCGACCTACGGCGCGCTTCAAGAGCACGCTGATTCGGAGTGCCCGGCCCGCCTATGCTTTTCCTCGCTTCATTTGATATCCGCCTTTGAAGCGCCTCGGCCAAACTAATTGCCACGCGGCCGCGAACCTACGTGAGCGTCCGAGCTGCCCCCCCGCAGCCCCGCGCCGAGCGTCTTTGGCGAGCTCGGTTCCATCCGCGGCTAACGCAGTCGCATCGATTGCACCCGGCAATATGTGTGTCACGTCTCGAGCAAACAGTCGCTCGGCATGATCGCGACGCCGACGCCGAGACGGCAAGCGAGAGGAGCGTTCCAGACGAGCGGGTATTCGATGCGCTTTACAGTTTTCCGATCCTTGTAGGTATAACATTTGCATGCTCTGTCGGCTGCAGCGCCAAAGGCGAAATGTGGTCGCGCGGCAAGTCGAATGGAAATATAGAAAAGAGAGTCGCTGGCGCATCCTGCGCGGCGAGGTGGGGGCAACGGGGGCAACGGCGGCGGCGGCGGCGGCGACGGAGATATAACGCAGTCGCCAGGATGAGGAGGCTGCCGAGCTGCGCTCGCGAGATCGACGACCCCGCGGCAGCGGCGAGAGCGCGTCAATGGCTCCGGCAGCGCGCGCTTGGCGTAGGTAGGTGTATCGCGATGCTCCGTCGAGCGGCGCGGCTATGAGAAAATAAAGTCGGAGGGCTTCGCTGCACCGCGAGCCGCCAGCGAGAAACGAGAAGCGAGCCCAGCGAAATAAAAGTCCAGATAAACAAATGGACTGGAAGGTGTATATCGGCTCGTCTTTCTCTCCCCCTCGCTGATTATTATGCGTCGGCACTGCGAGCGCGTCGATATCCTCTTCTTGGCCGACGCTCGCCCGTGGGAACGAGCACTTGTTCCTCTCCCCCTCCGTGCTCTTTCTCGTAGCCAGCCGGTCGCAAATTTATTCGGTTCCGGTGTCGCGCGCCGCTCAATTAACCGCCAATGCGAACGTCGTGTCGCTCGCTTCAGCGCCACCACTCGAGGAGGATACTTTTCAGCACCGAACCAAGAGTCTTGGATTCAGCGGGGACTCGGGCTAATCATTGGGGTCGTACCATCAAGCGATTCTTCGCGACCGGGACGGACGCCTCGCCGTATACCCGAGTAAGACGCTATACAGTGCGGCCAACAAGAGATAAAAGGAGCCTTCGACGAGATTCAATTCCTGAACTTCCGACTCCTTCCGACTCTTCTCATCCCGCTCGTCTTGATACTCGACCTCGACTCTGACTCGCGTTCGCTGTTGTTGCCAACTTCTTTTATGCTGAACGACGAAACCCGCCCGAACAGTCCACGCGGACTTTCAACATCGCTAACATCGATTTCGTCACATTTTAGACTCATTTTTTCCATTCACATAACTAGACATCTTACAGCGATAAGTCTATTCGAATATAATGTGCGTGCCTTTTCAATTTTTCTTTCTTACTGTACGTCGGAATCCGTAAATAATAAATACTGTTTTTACTCAGATAAAATCAATGACGTTATGACAAATCACGTGTTCAAATGGACTGAGGGTCATACCATGAGGGGCACTGTGTTACGTGCAACATGTGGAAAACACAAAATTCGATGGGTAAGATGTGACCTGGAAAACACTTCTTTTTTTTCACCTTTTTTTCACTTTTTAAAATTTAGCCACACTTTGTGGCCAGCTTATATTCTCATTGCATACCCATCAACTTAAAAAATATCATTTATCTAGCTAATGGGCGAATTTATAGTTAAAATGATAGCAGTCTATAGCAGAAGCTATGGTTCTAATGAGTAGGTTATCTTGGCATTAATAATAAATATTTTGAAGTAACTTGAAAATGATGTGTAATATGCGATAAAAGCGGTAGCTAATTTTATGAAAAATTGCGAAAAGATGACATAAAAAGAATTATTATTTTGAGAAAGAAAAACAATAGAACATTCGTGAATTTATTTCATCAATCAACTTTTTGCACAACCATTCCGTAGGTTTCCATTTCCAAATTGAATTTTGAACAATAACAATATTTGACATTCAATCCTTTTATTTGTTTACAGCGAGAAATGCACGAATATTAAAAATGATACTATTATTTTGTAGACCTTTGCGACTCATTGATCAGTGGTCAAAAGCACCTTTCATAAAATAAAGAAAATATTTTAATACAGTAGCTAAAAGCAAACTCATTAATAACAGTTAAACTAGGTAAACTTGAGACTAATTGGTTTACCATTAGGAAACGAAGGAAGGAAATTGTCGCCACGTAATTGGTATAACAATGTGTGTCGAGTCGAATTAATGTATTGTTATCAGAGTGTTGGCAGATGACACAAAACTTTAATGGAAAATCGTCTAGTCTATAAGCTTGAATAATAAAGCCGATTCGAATACGCCAAAAAGCATGCAGGTACTCACGAGAACGAATCTGTCGGTCTGGGGTGCATAAATAGTATAGCTTGGAGGTGCAAAGCGAGAAGAGAAAAGGGAATGGTGGGGATGGCTGCCGCCGCGCGCGCTCTCTCTCTCTCTCTCTCTCTCTCTCTCTCGCGACGCGAGTCTTTGGCCGGCGCGACTCGCGAGTGCGTCGAACAGTTGCGAGCCGACTGCTGCGCGCGTAGCTTCGTTCCTTCAGGCCGGTGCTCTGTGCGCGTGTGTTTGGAGAAGCGATACGTCCTTCCGAATAGGCGTCGTTGGCGCCAAAATCTGCGCTCTTCCCCGTAATATTTGCTCGCTAGCAATGAAAGTGCGGCAGAAACGCTTGCCGAGCGCAGGATCATAGAAGACAAAGTGCTCCACAATTCGCAGTGTGCCAGAGACGCGAACGCAGCGCAGCCACAGAGAGAAAGTATGTTATAACCGACGACGGCGGTGGTGCAGTGCCGAATAGTTCTCCTCGCGCGAGGATAAAGAGCGAGAGTGCTGAGAGCAGTGCAGTTTGTAATCGCAACGCCAAGCAAGAAAGAAAAACGACGGTGCTGATTATCGACGCTGCTCTCTCGCGCGATAGTGACGGTTTTTGCAGCACGTGCCGCTTTGTTCCGAGAAGCGGTGCGGCTTCCAGTGAGGCGATTTCCAAGCAACCTCCATATAGTGCTTCTGCGTTGATTGCAGAAGAAGAGAAGTGTTGACGGAGGAGTCCCGGAGGATACTTACAACTTGATAATATACCGGTGAGTCATACAGCCGTTTTCCGAGAGTCGACTGGTAGCGCGAGGAGGGCGATGACGAAAAAAAGTGCGCGATCGTCGATCCGGAACAGTGATTTTCTCGGGCGCATTTTTCACTTTTCATGTAGCTCGCGCGAAAGTAGGCTAACGAATGTCACCAGCGCTTTGATATTATGGTCTCGTTAGCAGTTTCCCTCGCAATTATTTCAAAGTAAAATCAAAATTGACAATGCTTGACGCTATGCAATTTGGAGCACGAAACTGCGCTGTTGTCCTTTTATTAATACACGAGCCTGTTGGCGCCTGACCCTCTGCAGTTATTAATCAAAATTAAGCTCGGCTTTCGCGCCAAACACATAAGCGCGCGGGCGAAGCGATAAAAATGCACGAAGGAAATCGGAGACTGGCTTGTATCAATTTAACCGTGAACCAGCCAAGTAAGCGCCGCTGCTGCGCTGCTGCTGCTGCTTTTGCAGGGACTATACAGTACTGCCCCTCTCTCTCTCTCTCGCCGCTCCGTTTCGCGATCACGTACAGTCCCTTTAAGAAAGTTCAGTCGAGCGAGCTCCTTTGTGCGCCTCGTGAGTCTTTTGTACTTTGGGCTATACCTTTTTTCATTCCCTGCACACTTTCTCACAGTTTTCTCGCGAGCACTTTCCGGCTTCCAGTTCGCGCGCGTGGCGCGACAAGTGAGCTGAGAGTCGATTTTGATCGATGGCGGCATTGTATGTGTATGCATGTAGCGTTGTGTATGCAAGCCGCGCGCTGACGCTTGTTGCGTCTCGCTCAATGGCGGAAAATAACATTCTCCAGCGCGCGATTGAGCTAATTTTCTTTTTCACTTTCGAATACTTTTCTCTCGAGACGAATTGATACGGTTCCCCCAGTAAATGATGTCTCTTCACTTTGCTCGTGTCCACCATTCCAGTTGTTTCTTTTTTTCTAATTTCTACAGCGGATTTCGGACTTCCTTCGTGATACGAACAGCTTTCCAACCTGATTGTATTTTGTGTTATTTGATCATCTTCGTTAATTGTTTCAATATTATTACGGACATAAACATTTAATGAAACTCGTCAACTGGTCTACGCCATGAAACTTTATACCCGAGAAAGATATCGTTGAATATTTAACGAATATATGTGTGCGATGGATAATGAATCGTTTTTCATGTCAGCGCTAATACTCGTGGCTATAACGACGGCCTGCTTACCTATTAGAGACAGGTTTTTTAGATATCAAATATGAAAATCGTAAATCCGAGCTCGCTCGTCGAGTTTTTTCTTTTCCTTTTTTTTCGGCGCATTAATGATCCATCAGCGCTATCGGATTTTATAAATTTATATAACGCGAATGGCATCCATTTGATCAATATATTTTGTTATCGACGTCGCTTGATTTTTTCGATCTAAATTCATAATCGATCAATTAGTCAATCCCGCTGTCAGGAATACTTGATATTCAAGAAGTCGATTGCATCGAAGAGGTTTATTTCCGTCTCGGCGACCGGGCGCGATGGAAATGCAACGAAATGTGCAAAACAAACTGCCACGCTGCAGGAAAATCGGAGGAGTGAGGAACAGGAGCGTTAATAAAAGTGTGCGCGTATGCATTCGGTTGGACCGAGCGGAGCGAGACGGGGGCCGGAGGGGGGCTCCGTATGTGAGTGAACGAGCGCTCGACAAAAACCGGTTATTCCAACTTTCATCCGCGCGGCTCCAGGGACCAAGGGTACACGAACTGCGACGCGGCGGTGGTTGTGGCGGTGGGGACTGAGGCGCGCGCGCGTGTGTGTGTGTGGTGTACGCTACGCTCGTAGTACGCGGCGACGCAGGTGACGCCAAGTTTGCTTTGCGTCTCTTTCTCTCTTGCCTACCGAACTGAACTAACTGGTTCTCTCTTTACTCATTCTACTTGCGCCTACCCTTTCCCCGCGCTCCGCGCCGCCTGGCGGCGAGCGACCGAGAGCGCTCTCGATGCATATTGCCTCGTTGGCCGAACTGATGGACGCATCATATTGCATTTCCACTCTCCGTCCGCGCACTCGGATGCCGTCATTACGAGCTGAACCACAATGAGCTCGTCGGCACGCTCGTCGCCCTTCTTCCTACGCTCGCTTTATTTCGATATTTGTTTCGCTGGCATTTCGGTTGCCGCGTGCAAGCGGCGCAAAAAGCGCAGTTTTCGACGGCCGCCTCGTCTCGATGCATTTTCCCGAAAAATATCTCTTGCGCGCCGATTCGCTCGACGGAACACTCGCGCAGGCTGATCGATCAATTACAAGAGCCAGCGAGCTGTCCGTCCGGTGGCGGCGACGGCCGATGATCCGTCGGAGCGACAACGTTGGCGGCGGCGTTGCGCCAAGATTTTTCGGCTGGCTGGCTCTCTCGTGGCTGCCGGCCGATTTGCAGCGCTGGCCATCGTCGCTTCGTTAATTGCTCGTCGACCGCAAACCGTGGAGTTGGCCCGGTGGTTCTGTCGTCGACAGCGGAGCCCTGCCGCCAGCTGAGCCTGACAGCAGTCGGCCCGCAAAAAAGGAAGGCGCCGGGCCGCGGGTGCGCACCAGTCGGCGCGGCGCCGAATCGCGCGGGGTGCCTCCGGAGCGGGAGAGCGCGCCCGAGAGCCACCGGTCCGTCGAGCTGCGACCATCGATCGGTCGTCGTCCGGCTCGGCCTTCCCCTTACGTAATTAGCTTGTGCAATCTTATCCGCTTGCTCGCGAGTGTCCATTCAAGATCTTGCTCTCCGTGGCACATTCAATGCGCTGGTCGCCCGCCCGGCGCAAGCCCGTCGACGCCCAAGTGCCGCGCACTTCGCTCGGGAACGTCTTGCGCAACGGACGCATAAAAGAGGACTGTTGGAAAGGGAGGAATGGTTATTCGCACCGGAGACATGCCGAGAATGCCGGCCGAGCGCGACGGATGGGCTGTACAAGTGCGCAGCAGCCGAGCGTCTCTTTATCGGAATCGCGACATAATTACGCTAATGCGCGCTCGCGCGGGCGCCTCTTTGAACGACCGAACGATCCAGCGCGCGGGAGCGAGGCGCTTTTTTCCAGTTGCGCGCTCGCCGGCAGGACGACATGAAAAAACGCGCGGGCGTCGCTTTCCCTCTCGGCGCCTCGCCAAGGCGACGAGTTTCACTTTGCCGCCCGCGCATCTCGTTGATGAACTTTCGCTCGGAGCACGGGCAGCGCACGCGATGGCCATTTTCCAGGCACTTGGCTCTGCGCGAGGAGGCGCCGCTTTCCCTCGCGCATCTGGAGCGTGAAAACAGTCGGCACGCGTGCAGCTTTTGCAGAGCTCTCCGATTGATTCGTCGGGCGATTACGGGCGAGAGCACAATGGCCGCGATCGACAGGAGGGTCCCCAGAGGCAGCCCGGACGTCCCGCGTCAGCCGACGCTTCGTCGTGCTTTACAAGGGATTGTCTTGCGAATGAGCCTCTGTCGCCGCCGAGGCATTTTCTCCGCGGGCGCGGAATGCCCGTATCGGCTTACGGATTGATTTCGTGTCCTCTCCGCGTTCAGTGACGCCTGTGGTCTTCGCGAGATCGAGCGGACTGAGCTCGCCTCTCTCGAGCGCTTTTCGCAGTTCGTCGGGCTAAGAGCGAGCGATGTCTTTTTCTTTCACGGAAGCAGAAACGAATCGATCGCTGTTTTGCTTAACTTCGTAGATAGCCTTTTTTACTCTCCCGCGCTACGGAGCGCTTAACGTTTTCACGCTGGATGCGTTCAATTAGCGATCTTTCTTTCTCTTTCCAGCCATCCATCGTTGCCCTGGCTGTAAATTACGGGTGCAATAGCGAGCGTCGAGCGCGCGAGCAACGGTTCGCAGCGTTGCGTACGGGCGCGAGCGAAAGAGAGCGTAGTTAACGAGGAGACCGGATCGCGCGAGGGACGATTTGAGCACTGCTGCGATTATTTATCGGCGCGCACCGCGACGCGCCTCGCCGATCCATCGACGCAAGCCGTTCCGCTGAACAGAAAGGCCGTTTAATTAATTTAATGAGCGCTCGCGCGTCGCACGCATCTGCAATGTCGCCCAACGTCGGAGCCGCTGCTTGCGCGCTGGAGGTCGTCGACGCCGCGCGCTCGCCACCTCTTTCCCCGGCGCCGCACTCTCGAGCAGCCAATAACCGGAGCCTGCCGCTCTCGCGCACCCCGCCTTTGACGATTCGCCGCAACGTCGGCGCGCTGCCTGTCTTTCCCCTCCTTGCTGGAATACCGAGCCGCGCTGCGATTAACAATGCCTAGGCCTCTATCTTTCGGCGCTGGAAAACAATATCGACGAATTGGTCAGTTGGCTATTTGGGCTGCGGGGAAATCGCGCCCGGACGGCACTGGACGTCGATCGATCGATATCTCTGTCGCGAAATCGCTGAGCTTTCGAATTATTTGAGTCGTCCGCTGCAAGAGGAGTAAAATCGCGGCAGCGATAACGGCCGCAGTTCGGAACTGTCATAATATCCGTTCGCAGAAGTTGGCTGCTCGCTGCCCGCAGTACGCGCGAAGAGTGCACGAGCGGGAACGGAGCGGTCATTCCGGGAGGGTCTCGAGCGTGGTCGGGCCGGGCGCGCGGCGAAATCGGCGATCGGTCGTTGGCGTCGCTCGTCAAACGAAAGGATGGCAGGATCTCGCGGGCCTAGGTCGAGACGAGTGCAGGCTATTCGGCGACGAGCGCCTCTCGTTAATTTCCCCGGGCGCGCGCCTTCCCCTCTGTCTCGTTCGCTGGCTTATTTACGGGCGGCAAAGCGAGCCGTCGCCGCTGCCGCCACCGCCGCGCGGCGCGTTGCCGTTACTCATGGAGCGCGCGTAAATATCGTTGCCGGACTGGCGCGCACGGCGTCAAAGCAGCGCGGCGCGGTCTTTTCGCATCTACGATTCAGCTCCCTCGGCGCCGCGAGCCAAGTTTGCCCGGGCGTCAGCCGAAACGACCGCCAAGCGAGAGCGAAGGGCCGACGTTTTCATTGTGGCGGCGGCTCTGTTATCGCGCCGGCATTCCTC